CATGGGTTCATGGTGTTTCCAGATATCAGACTATTTAATACATAATTTAATATTATTGTCTCACTGTTAGTCATCAAATATAGATATTAAAATCCACAGGTAACATCCACAGGTACCATCCCCAGGTAACATCAACAGGTAACAACGAGTAGGTGGTTAACGAGTTAATTACACCATTAACAAATATTAATGCACTTCCGGTCGTGAGAGAGATAGAGAGGGAATGGGGTGGGGGTAACGTCCACTCGACACAAGCTAGGTCATTTCGGGACTAACATATGGTTCAATATTATTTCTTGCGCGTAGGGGTCTTTAGCAGTGGGAGGAACCCGTGGGACTGGAGAAATCCACGAGGTTGGACAGACGACCCTACTCCTTATTGTCACGTACAACCGAGGAATCGAAACTACGCCAGTTTATTCAAACTTCCGGTCGTATTAGTCAATAAATAATAAAAAAGCACATCACAAATGGTGTCTTATTTAATGCGGAAATGAAATTTACAGATAGGATGTCAGTCAAATAAATATATGTCTACACCCACAGCAGCTTTGTCGTCCTAGCAGTCCATATTGCTTTGTGACAGTTGATTCTTCGACAAATTTTACAAAGTTGATTAAGGGGAACAATTCACGATATAATTATTGGATTTTGTTAAAGTCTCAGTGTTGGGGTGGGGGTGTGGGCTTTAGATCATGAGTCCTGTCATGGAGTCAAATGGCGTGGTTTCGATTCCCCGGTTGTACGTGACAAGGACAAGGGTCGCTGCAGTGTGCTTTAAAGGACATTTGGTCTATAGACAACGGTGCTATAAATGTTTAGTGGCCTTGTGATGTATCGGTTCTTTAAGCAAATAGGGTGGGTGGGCGAATGGTTAGTGCGTGCGCGTTGTATTATAAGGTCTGTCTTTCAGTCAGCTGGCGTGGTTTCGATTCCTCGGTTGTACGTGACAAGGAGTAAGGTCACCTGTCCAACCTCGTGGGATTCCGCCAGGTACTCCGGTCCCCCCCCCTCTCTCTCTCTCTCTCTCTCTCTCTCTCTCTTTAAGCAAATGATTGTTTGTATATTAGCCTATTGTTCTAGAAGTGTTGTAGTTGTGGGCGTTTAATACCAACTGTTCTCAATTACATATATATATATATATACAATAACCAGTAGAGATACAACAAGCGACAACAAGTGTTTTCAATAAGTAAGGAAAGCATGTTATTTGATAATACCCAATCTATTAACAACTAGAGCGAGAGAAATGTCTGTCATGCTACGATAAATGCTTATCTTTTCATCACTACCTGTACTGGAAATGGTTCCACTACTGATAGCTTCAGTCTGTGACTCCAGCCGTTGTAGCGGATAGTTCTAATGACTACAGTAACTTTATGGACCGGCGTTACATCTGTGTAACTCCATTAAAGGGAAAGACCAAAGGTTTTCATATAAATTATGGTTTCCATAAATTTTAAATATATATTCCTATATAATTCCATCTGTGACGCACTCAAAAATGTTTTTGCAAGCGGGAAATTATTTCTTTTAAAACCGAAAGTGACGCAGTTGGTTCAACTTAAGATTTATGGAAACCTTGTTGAAAATCGTTGGTCTTCTAATTTAATTCTCCCCACCTTCATGAAACCAGTCCATGCAGAATAGTAGGACGTTAAACCCCATTTCATTTCATTTCATTTGCCGTAATTTTCAATTAAACTGCCCACCAAGTGTACTGCGCATAGCATAGCATATAATTAACTAATTAATTAATTAATTAACGGGGGGTTTGGATGGCCGAATGGTTAGAGCTTGCGCGTTGTATCATAAGGTCTGTCATTGAGGCAACTGACATGTTTTCGAGTCCCCGGTTGTCCGTGACAAAGAGTAAGGTCGCCGGGTTTTCTCCGGGTCCTGCGGTTTCTTCCCACTGCTAAAGACCCCTACGCGCAAGCGAATTATTGAAATAAAAATGAACCTCATTTCTCTCATTCTCCGCCTTAACCAGAAATATAATTCCTGCTATAATCCGGACTCCGATTCCCTCGGATTCGCCAGAATCAGACGTAACTTGAAACTCCAAATGACATTGGCAAGCAACGTGTCATATAAAGAAACGTTAGGTCATTAGACGTCTGTGTGTCTGTGATCATTATCTTGCACGTGTGCCCGGATGCATGTAGCGTGCATATCTATTTCGTTTTTAAAAATTGTACATTGTTTCAACATTAGCTCATTTATATTGTTTGTTAAGAGACAGCTACTGATATCTATCTGTCTGCATAATGTGTTATTAACTATTTTATTTTGTGCGCGCACGTGTTTTGTATTTACATGGATATCTATCGTATATACATAATGTTTTATTAAACCTACATTACGCAAGAGCTAAAGCTGCCTATTGCAAGTCTTTCTTTAGGCCTGAAATGTTTTCTAAATACTTAGACATTAATTAACTTATCCAAACCATAATCAATTCTCCATGTCATCGCCAGCCTGCGATATTTAGCGGATTGGAATACAATTTCAAAAAATAATTAAACGTAAAAATGGATAATTCAAAAGCTAATATCTCGGTTCAGAGTGGAGCAATTTGACTGAAATGTTCAGCATATTCTATTTACGTTATCTAATTTGTAACTATCATAGCGAGAACTGTCAACTCATTATCTAATCTCTCATAATGGCCCTTTAACTGACGTGTGCGCGCATGTTTTTGATGCTACGTACATATCCAGCTTAATTTAATAATGTTTTATAATTGTGTGCGTGCACGTGCTTTGTATTTACGTGGATATATATAATCTTATATGCATATTGTTTTAATAACTATAGTGTGCGCGCATGTGTTTTATATTTACGCAGATAGCTGTCGTGTGTGCATAATGTTTTATTAACTAGTCTTTGTGCGCACGTGGTGTGTATTTATATAGTATAGTATAGTATATATATTTGTATGTATGTTTGATATTGATGGGTAATATGAGTACACGTGGTGTGTATTTTGTATAGATCATTGATATTGATGGATAATATAACTACACGTGGTGTGTATTTATATAGAATATATATTTGTATGTATGATTGATATCGATCTTTTAGAGGCATTTAGTAACTGGATAGAGCAATAAACTATAACTATAATGATATCGATGGGTAATATAACTACACGTGGTGTGTATGGTTGATATCCATGTGTATTTTGTATGCATGAGTGATATCGATGGGTTATAAGACTACACGTGTGTGTATTTTGTATAAATGATTGATATTCATGGGTAATATGACTACACGTGGTGTGTATTTAATGGTTGATATCCGTGTGTATTGTGTATAAATGGTGATATTGTTGGGTTAACAAAATAAAACCAAGTACGAACAATCCAAACCATTAGACAAAATTCGAAGTCCTAAAAAAACGGTATAGGCAAAATAGTGTAATAAGGCAAAATAGTGTAATCAGCATATGGACTGTTCACCGTGTACAAAATACACGACAATGGTAACAGGTGTCCGGAAGAGTAAGCTTACCCTGCCTGGCGCCACACCCGCCATAGCTGCATCCAAACTATTAGACGAAATCTAACTACACGTGGTGTGTATTTTGTATGTATGTTTGATATTGATGGGTAATATAACTACACGTGGTGTGTATGTAATGGTTGATATCCGTGTGTATTTTGTATAAATGGTGATATTGTTGGGTAATGAGACTACACGCGGTATGTATGGTTGATATTCTTTGGTAATATGCATAATTTCTGTACTTATATTTTATACATTTGTTATGCTGTTCAAAAATACGTTTCGGGGCCTCATTGATTAAGACTCTAGTCCATTGGTGGTGTAGGAGGAAGAGCGTGGCAAAAATCAGTATCTGATCGTTTGGATAAGGCGTAAAACCGAGGAATGGTGTACACAATGGCGTACACGTAAAATAACCCCTACCAATTGGAATCCATTGGTAAAAGACGCATCGGTGCAATTCTATTCTATTCTAAATCGCTTATCAAAAAGGGGAGGAGCCGCGGTGGCTAAGTGGGTAAGACGTTGGCTCGCTAATCTGGAGATCGCGAATTCGCTCTCGGTGTTAGCGGAGAAAGTTCATCGGGACTACCCGGCGTAGTGTCCCCTTGTCAGTGGTGCAGGACAGAGGGCTAGGCAGCAGTCTACTCGTTCGGATGGGACGAAAAACCGAGATCCCGTGTATACATTGGCATCCACGCAAAAGATCCGTTGGCAGATGTAGGAGATAGTGCCGCTGTCCGGGGAAAATACCCTCAAAGCACACGGCATGGCGTATGCCCATCTTCATTAGCCCGGTAGGAGCAGAACAATTTCATTTTATTTTATAAAGCGATATTATGTAAGGTTTAGACCAAAAGCAGACAGTTCTCGCTACAATAGTTAAAAAAATAGATAATATAACAGGAATATACTGGACATTTCAGTCAAATTATTTCACTCTGAGCCGATTTTAATATCACCGTAGCCTCATTTGTCATTGTTACCGTTGTAACGATAGTAAACAAAGTCTCGATTATCCATTTGTCATTGTTACCGTTGTGACGATAGTAAACAAAGTCTCGATTATCCATTTGTCATGGTCACCGTTCTCATAAATTCTATTCTATTCTACATTATTTTAAGCAATATTTTTTATTCCAATTTGAATCTGAATAGGGATTGGGGAACAGGCATAGCCTATATTAAACCCCTATCTCTCCCTCTACATCCCATATCATAAAGGACGCTTCGGCGCAATTTCATTCTATTCCATTGTATGCTGTGTTACATTGCATGTATTATACGACAGTAAACACACAAAACCAATATATTAAAAAAATATACCAACTCTACAAACTCGTCCTATATATACTAGTGAACACACGCTACTATATGTAAATACTAATGACTTATAAAGATGATAAATATGTTATTACACATGAGCTAAGAACCACAAAGCATCTACCGTAGTACAAATATACAAGCTAAAATGATTTAAACACACTTACCGCAAACAGTTAACGATAAAACAGCGGCCCTTGGTTAACCCCTATATCAATTTCACTAATATCAAGTACAAGTTATATTAGATATATATATATATATAGAGAGAGAGACGATGATAATATCCCCACGATACACAACTATTTATAAGCTATTCTATCCTGTATTTGGGATACCTATGTCACACACTTTGACACGATGTATGTCAAACAATTGAGGGATTTAGGATCTAGGTTAATTCACACGATGTACGGCGATACGAGCGAGACACAGTTCAATAACTTCCATGAATAAGGCTGATATTTGCTGACTGGGCGTTGTTGTTTTTAGTGTCTGTTTACTTTTGCTCCTGTATCATTAGGGTACAGTCATGATAAGCAACGTGCGGCTGTACATTCGCTGAATACAAGTATATCAAATTTATACACCGATACAGAAATATCAATACAGGAACGATGCACAACACGAGTCTGTACAACTGAATATGAAACTATTATAACAGTCCAGTCATATTAGACGACGCACCGACTGAATATGAAACTATTAAAACAACCCAGTCATATTAAACGACGCACCGACTGCAACTTATCAAATTAACACAATGATCAACGGATGAAATTTGCAGCAACTCGAATTCTTCAACTTAACTAGTCTAGTGATAATTATTAGACAACGCACGATGAAAAATTTATCAAATTAATGATCCGATGATCTGATTTGCCACTTTATTGGCAACTTCAGGTCCTTTATCACTTAAACTTCATTCATACTACACAGCGAACAAGCTAACAAACTCTGCAATTTATCAAATTTGCGAAATTTATTGGCACTATTAATGCAAAAAAACTGTCTAAATTATAATGAACCGAATCCACGAATTCTTTTGAGATTTCGTAATGGGTAATGCAGTAAGTAGTTAACAGCCAGATTACTATAGACATATCACACAGCAATTCACTTTATAAAGACATCAGTTCATTCAGACTCACTTTTTTTGTCTTAGTTGTGTTTGAATTCTTGCGTAAACTTTTAATTCCATTCAACAAGGTCGTTAGTTACGGGTGAATACCATCAAATCCATTCACAAAAAGTTTTAGATCACTGCCAGGCTACCAAATAAAACAGATGTTCAGTTTAACAATAACTTCCATAATCCAAAAGATTTATACTAATTTTTGACAAACATTATTACCCTTGATGCTTTCCATTAATGACTCTAAACAATTCTGATCACTTTAGATATTCCTGGAAGATCACAAAGAATTCCGATGCTCCACGATATTTTCCAACTGTTTAACGACTCGCTGTCTGTGCTCACGCAAATAATGAACTCCAGATTTAGTTGGGGTTTTTTTTTTTAAATACTTTACTACATTAATACTGGCTTGGGTGTAACGCCCCGCTTGTCATCTGTATAGGTAAATCAACTCCATCCTCTAAGCATACCTACATTCAGTTTGTACAACGCCCTTATGTCTCAGGGTAGAAATGCATTAAGTTCTATGATATTATTATTATCTTGGTGGCTGCATTCCTGTACATATTTCCAACCTTTGTTATCTACATGGGCTGGAACAAAGACGTCATTTTGCAAAGCGTTGATGAATCATGGAGGCGAGAGCCATGTTTAACGGTTGCCATGTCAATTTCGTTTGGTTCCTGATATAAATCACGACCCGCCGCGTTGTTTTGTTGTCGTCTGCTACTGATATAGTAGTGTAAACTTCGTATTTTATTACCACGCACGTTCGCTCTCCCCTCGTGCAATGCACGCGATCTCTCACCACTAGTGAATTAAAATATCATTCAGGCTGCTAAGCGAGCACGTTTTAAAAATCTGTTCTAACAACTTGACCCATAAAGGTTGCGACTCCTGTCTTTAATTTGTTAAAAACTTAATGTTTTATATGAGGTGTTTGAAGTCTCAAACACGCCTACACATCTTTTGAGAAAAAAAAGTTAAACATACATTATGCAAGAGCTAAATCTGCCTATTGCAGGTCTTTCTTTAGGCCTGGAATGTTTTCTAAATTATTAATTAGACATTAATTAACTTATCCAGGCCATAACCAATTCTCGATGGCATCGGATTTCTCCAAAATTAAATAAATTAGAACAGTTCGGCCATATTTTGATTTAAGCTAAAAATGGAGGAGCGAGACTTACCTTCGAACAAACAGTACGGTGGTTGAAATTATTGCACACGTCTTGTCAAACCTTAAAAGGCTAATATCTTCGCTCGCAATAGAGTAATTTGAATGAAATTTTCAAATTATTCATTTTTCATTATCTATTTTCGAACTATTATAACAGGAATGGTTAGCTCTTTATCTAAATCTTACATAATGTGTCTTTAATCGGATCTGACTCCACAAAAGCCATGGGCATGTGTTCATATTAAGAAATGAAATGAAATAGGTTTTAACGGCCTACTGTACTGTTCTGGGTCCTGTTTTACGAAATTTTAACTAAGATAAAATCCAAATTTTAGTAATTTGATTGAATAATATTAGATTGATTTCAGTGCTTAGTCAATCAAAATTCACGTATCTACTAAAATTTGGATTTTATCTTTAGTTAAGATTTCAAGAAACAGGGTCCATGTCCTACTGACTAATGGGGTTTTCTGCCCCGATTGGGCTAATGAAGGGGGGCAAAGGACATGCAATGTGCTATGAGGGAAATATTGCCCGGGCAGCGGCGCTATGGCCTGTACTCTGACTGTCAAACTGTCAAGGGATCTTTTACGTGCACGCTAATGTGTACACGGGACCTCGGCGTTTCGTCCTCAGTCCTACATAATCTACAAGGGGGAACCACACCGGAATATCCCGATGAACTTAATAATATTAATTAATATAAAGAAAAGTTGATACATGATCTAGTTTAGATCATTCTCGTTTTTAGGTCAATACAGTGATAGGGCCTACAATAAAATCTTACCTTGCTCACATAACCATTGAAATGAAATGTACCATACGTGAGAGAGAGGGGGGTGGGAGAGAAGGGGGGTGGGGGTCAACGTTCAATCAACACAAATTAAGTCATTTGCGACTAACATATGATTCAATTTTATTTCATAAATTCGCTTGCAGTGGTGGAAGTGGGGGGGGGGGGGTACCAAACTACTAAGATATTTTCATTGACCTCCGCCGTTCTGGTCCATGCGTCGTGTTTTATACACCCACCCCCTCTACTTCACGGCTCGATCCCTGCATTGGCCGAGAAAGTTCATCGGTATTTTCCGACGTGGTTCCCCTTGTTAGTGGTGCAGGGCGGAGGGCCTGGCAAGTACAACTGTCTAGTCCTTCTAATGGGACCCAAAAACCGACGTTCCGCGTATACATTGGCGTACACGGAAAAGATCCCTTGGCTGTTGGAATTCTATATAAGAGTAGGTCATGATACCGCTGCCCGGGCAAAATTACCCTCATATCACACTGTATGATGTATACCCGTCTTCATTAGTCCAGTCGGAGCAGAACAGTAGGACGTTCAACCCCATTTCATTTCATTTTCATTTCCATGCTTCGAACAAAAAAGATAGCAGTTGATAGTTGACTAGATCTATTCGACAAGGCCCAACCCATATTTCCCCACTAGGTCACGAGATCTAAACAGGGTTAGGGCACATGATCGTTGCCGAGGATTCTGGGTAAGGGCTCGTGATTTGCGCAGGGCTAGGTCTTCGTTTAGGGATCTAACGGTTGATAGTTATAACTAATCATATAGTTTCATGCTCTCCACCCCTCTACGCCATGCCTTTGGTCAGTGCTAAATGATAAGGCCAGCTCACCTTTGTATATAAATCTAATGTATTATATGTATAATAAACTAGGAAATATCACGAACTAATTTTTCATCATCCTAGGTCAGTGCTTGTGTGGCGACTTTAATTAACCTCTCCCCCAAATTCTTAAACCTAACCTACAATCACGTGCCCTAACCTTATTTACATCTCAACGACCTTGGCAAAAATTGAACTGGCCTTAGCAAATAGATTTAGCCCCATGCGTTGAACAAACCAAGAAAGCGGTGGATAGATATCACAGAAGTTCGTACACCGCGTTGAATATACAAAGGATATTTGTCGTTTTAGAGTGAATAACATATTTTATTTCATCGAGAAGCAAGAAAACTTATATTTTCACGAATGCGTAGCATGAGTGAAAATATAAACGTTTTCTTGCTTAGAGATGAAATAAAATATGTTTTTCACGACAAAACGACAAATGTTCTATTTATTTTATGATTTTACAATCATTTTAGGTAAAAACAACTAGCCAGAGGAATAACACTTTTATTTCACTGATAAAATGCGGTATTCCACTACTAATCATAAAATAAGATGGAATATTGTTTTTAAAAAATATATAAACTCACTTTTTACCGAACGTGCCACTTCATTTAAAAATTGTACAGGCATCTATTAATCAGATTAAAATACAGATCCTATTTCGTTTCGTTTTATGGTTCAAAAAACGAAACGAAATGAGAGAGAGAGAAATGGGGTTTAACGTCCACTCGCCACAAACTAGGTCATTTCGGGACTAACATATGGTTTTGATTTTATTTACATAAATCGCTTGCGCGTAGGGGTCTTTAGCAGTGGGAGGAAACCGGAGGCCCCGGAGAAAACCCACGGTTGGATGGCCGAATGGTTAGCACGTGCTCGCTGAATCATAAGGTCTGTCGTTGAGTCAGCTGGCTTGGTTTCGATTCCCCGGTTGTACGTGAAAAGGAGTAGGGTCGCCTGTCCAAACTCGTGGGTTTTCTCCAGGTCCCCCGGTTTCCTCCCACTGCTAAAGATCCCTACGCGCAAGCGAATTGTTGAAATAAAATTGAAACATATGTTAGTCCCGAAATGACCTAGTTTGTATCGAGTGGACGTTAAATCCCATTTCTCTCCATATATATTTTATATTTTAATACATATTATAGGACGCCAGCTGACATTTGCGATACGTGCACCAAGATATGTAATGTGAACCCCGTTACACCCACTACCAGGAATGGCGTCGCCATTTTACTTAATGCAGTATCGGATAACCAGACGTATATAAACTCTGTACAAAGGTTTTTTGATATTTTTTTTTTCTTTCAAATTTTGAAACCATCAATGAAAACGTTTACATCTGTTTCGTATATTTGAAGAAAACGTGCTTTTTGGAAGAGAATATCATATAAAAAGAATTTAACTGACATTTTGTTTTAAAATAATATTTGTTTTCGGTATGGCCGCAATATTTTATTTCATCCGATATTGGATTGACGAACAGACTAGGCCTATATTCACCCCTCTCCAATATTTACATAAATAAATTTAAAAAATGTAAATACATGCAACGTATAAACTGTATGTGAAACTAAAACGGGGGGAGAGAGAGAAATGGGGTTTAACACCCTTTCGACACAAACTAGTTCATTTCGGGATTAACATATGTTTCAATTTTATTTCAATAATTCGCTTGCGCGTAGGGATCTTTAGCCGTGGGAGGAAACTTGAGGACCCGGAGAAACCCCACGACCCTACTCCTTATTGTTACATACATGCAGGGATTCAAAACCACGCCACTTTACTCAATAATGACAGACCTTATGATTCCACGTGCATGCGTTAAACGACTAGACCCTGGTTATTTTGAGACTAACATACGTTAGTTCGTGTGTGCCAGACATGACCCAACTTTAACCGCCAGAGCTGTCAATACCGAAATCAAATGTTTATGTTATACAGTATGCTATGAGGAAGTTTTCATCCGAACAGCGGTGCCACGACTCCTTCGCTTATTTCGAATTTCAATTGGAACCCCAGATTCCCGCCTCATTCGAATGAATAGACGCTGTTCCCTGTCGGTACTGGTGAGTTCTTCAAATGCATTTATAAAGTTCAGGACACTGTATGGCGTATGTCCATTTTCATTAGCCCTGTCGGAGCAGAACGGCCACTGTGGCTCCTTCCATTTTACAGATTATGATAGCTAGTGTAAACGATTAAGAATTCCTAAAATTACGATCGGTGACTTTAATATTAATACTTGAGATTTAACCTATTGAATGTTTAATTATAACGTTCAACATGTCAGAACAACAATAATCTATAACGTTTTTACGTTACAACATGTCAGAACAACAATAATCTATAACGTTTTTACGTTACATGTCAGAACAACAATAATCTATAACGTTTTTACGTTACAACATGTAGAGGAGTTAAAATAACAGTTTGACACAGTGCCATTGAGAGCGAGAGCGAGAGAGAGAGAGAGAGAGAGAGACACTCGGCAAACCTCGGCAGATTCCAGTACCCTACATCTAGACTCGGCTGTATGACGGTAAGTGATATGTACCGACGCCTATACAATTGCGATGCGGCACCGGTTTACTTATTAGAAAAACGTACCGCTTTTAGAAAGAAGTTCTGACAATTGCGTCGTTCCAAGACTAGAGTGTGTAGAATTTTCAGTGCAAACTTGTTTGAAGAAAATCGGATAAACTTGAGAGAAAAACAGCTTCAGATTTTTAAATCTTTTTATGATAAAACATACTTCAAAGGCGTCGTCATGGGCAACGCCGTTGGTAATCCGGGAACTTGAAAGTAGTTTCAATGGCGGATTTCGTCATACGTACAGCCGAGGCTAGATGTAGGGAACTGGAATCTGCTGAGGTTTGCCGAATGAGAGAGAGAGAGAGAGAGATGGCGGTTAAACGTCCACCATTTCCGGG